AATACATTTCTTTATGTCTATAGCTTGCATTCCATTACTACCACTTGCTTTATGAGAGTGTAATTTAGAGATGATGTCCAATACCATTGGTGGGGTTGTGTTCATCTCTCTCTGTAGAGCCTCAGTTCTAGAGGGAAAATCAGATGTGGGTACTCCAGATGGGTCAAGTGTTGAGTTGGATGAGAATTTCTATGCAAAGCATTCAGCCTTATCAGCTGTGGATGTTAGGACATTGAATTGATTGAAGAAAGGAGGGATTGAGGATTTGCTGTTGTTCAGCACACTCTTGCAGAGTGACTAAGAACCAAACTTGTAAGATGCAATACACAATGAATTATTTTCAGAGTATGTTATATATACTATATTAGACTTTATTATGCAAGTTTTTGCAGCAAAATTAGCAATAAAAAAATGAAATTTGTAGAATTTTCAGTGTGATAAATATAAAGCGTGAATTTCAACTTATGTTTTTATTAGGAATATTTACAATTAGTTTGATGGTTTGACATTATTGTTAGACAACTAAAGAGTTATTCTTCATATTGTAAATAAATCTATATAATATTATAGTTATTAATATTTATATTTTAATTTCAGATATATAAAGATTTCCATGGGTAACTTCATGGAACTTCAAAAGAGAAATAAAATATTCTAGTTACTAGATGATGTAAAACCAATGTTGGAAGTTTTAAAATTTGAACAGAGATCACAGAAAAATCAAAAATTAAATTTAAAACATTGGTAAGATAAGAACTTGTAAAAAAACTGACTTCAAGAATAACAAAAAAAAAAAGAAAGAAATATTAAAAGTATAATAAACAAGAAAAATGAAATGACCAGCAAGGAAATATTTGAAGAAGCTGGTGTTACAAAAGTAAATGGAGGGAAAAGATGCAAAACATTAAGAATGAAAGAGATGAAAGCAATCAAACACCTACCAGCTTTATGTAAATATCACAAAGAGAAATATGAAGGTTGGTTGAACAAGTAAATGAAAAGCAATTTTGTAACAGTATGTTTTAGTAATAAATGTAGAACTATATTGGAGAGAACTGATGTCTGGGCTTGAGATTGGGTCCTTCATAGAAATAGTCAATGTATATTACTAAAAATACTACAATGGGAAAGTGGAATAATGTTTCAGGCTAGTACTGTATATCTCTTCAAAGTTGATAAGTATTTAAAATAAATGCAGAGTATTCTTGAGCAAGATATTTTATGAATAGTACAGATCACAACCAAAACACTTTAAGTAAAAATATATTTAGTCAATTCTACTTCATATTCTGTAAAGATAACTATTATCTAACATGCCAATAAAGATTTCAAAGACACCAAATTATTGGAATGACTGTCCCCAGCCTTTTTAGATATTAGACCAATAAAAAAATGTTATCTCTTTTGAAAAGCCATGTATATGAAAATGGAAAACCATATTTTAGTAAAGAACCTCTTTAGAAAACAATAAAAATTGTTGCAATGTTAAAGTTGAAACATAGAAAAGTCAATGTGTGAAATATTGATAAAGGTTATAGAATAGCAAAGACACAATATTAACATTAAAAATAATAATTTATTCAGGTAAATCAGATATTATGTTTATGAAATATATGTTCCTCAGGCCTATATGTTTTGAGCTTTATAACTGAAAATTTAAATTTCATTTCAATTGTTTACATAATAGAATTATCACCCCCACCAAAATAAGCTATTATTGATATTTTTTAATAAGAGTAGTTATAATGACATGAAACTCACATGAGACTAACTTATATAAATTTATCCCGAAATTTTTATCACTATTTATTGGTTAATAGCAACTTTTTTCTTGTGGAAATATTGAATTGCATAATTTGACATATGCATATATTAAACCTTGCCCAGGCCTGCACCCTGGAGAGGATACTCCAGCGTCATCTCACCATAATGGCAAAATATCGGAAGCAACAGTCTACTTATGGGAAAATTCCAAAGGTCCTTTTCTATGAAGAACTGGCTGCCTGCAAGAGGGTACGAGGGCGACCTCATCTTTGATTTAAGGACATCTGCTCAATGTCATGAGGGTGATGTATATAGACATTAGGAGATGGGAAGACGTCAACAATGATTGTTCATGCTGGGTCATGATTTACACTGAGTGCTGGAATGAGGAGAGGAGAAACGGTGACTTGACACCAAGATGGAGCATGCTTGGAGGAAAGAAAACAACACAGGAACATTGAAGGAGAGTGTCTTCATATGCATTGGTTGCAATTGAGACTGCACAGCCATAACAGCAGCTTAAGCATAACTTTTTGGGTGCAGATCCATGGTCTATAGAGATTGACAGATGCCACATGTACACAAGTATGTATTCCATAGGACTTTGCTCACTCATTCTCAGAAAAAAATGTTAAAAATTTGGTGTTTCTGCCTAAATATTTTGAATTTCATAATCTGGAGTTCAGCAAAACAAAAGCAGAAACATTTAGAACAAAATATTTTTTTATATTAAAGCAATATTATATTGGGGTCAGTGATTAAAGTTTTTTTTTATTTTAAATCTGTGGATCTAATAAAAACAGAAAATATATTTAGAGTAAGTTCTGAATAAATTATTAATAACTTAGTTTTGTTGTAAGCAGAGAAAATTACCTGTTCATTTATTTTATAATTAATTAAGTTTAGGGCTTAAATATGCATTTTTTTCTATTTGAAATTTATAAATTTAGTATATTATAGAAATTTACTGTTGTTTTTGAAAATTTAATTTTTGTTCACATTTGTTTTTTTATTTATGAATTTGTTTCCATTAAAATAGTGTTCTAGGTGTTTTTTATTTATCTTCTCTTTGCCAATATATCTGTTTTTTTTATTATCTTCTTTGCTTATGAATTCAGGTATTTACAAAATTAGTCTGGCACAAGTGTTGGACTGCTAGAAGACAAATTCACTAACCACTACTCTATAGTGAGGTACTTCCTATTTTATGCATATAAAATAATCTGGTCCCTCACATCACTTTGACTGTAAGAAGAAATCTATTTACATTGCTATAAACAGAGATTAAAAATGATCTTTACATAACATTACGTACTTACTGCTTTTCATACTGAGATTAAAAAGTATGTTTTCCTAATAATGCACACATTTATTTCTGCTAGTATTTATTTTATCAAATGAAACATTTTTTTTTACTTATTTTTATCAATTTCCTAATACTTATACATATATATGTATGTTCATACAAATTATTAGTGCTTATGTTATAATTTTTTTATCTGGCAGTTATTCATCACACATATATATGTATGTATGTATGTTTCTCTATTGATTGAAAGATAGATACATATATATGATTATGGAAGGAGTATTTCCATTTATTGTTTCTAAAGAACTGGGACGTGCATTTGTACATGTATGCATGTGGGCAATATTGTAGCATAAATAAAATAAACAGAAAAAAAATAAAAACAAAATTTGAAAGTGAAATACAATCCAGTCTGAGAAACATTCTCCATTTTCTGTTGAATAAACAGTGAGTATATTATGGTTTTAAATCAAATAATCTTTTTTATCTTTTAAATTGTATACATACTTGTTATATAGAACCAAGATTAAAACTGAAGGGTGTATTGAACAGATCATATGTCTATGAGAAAATACTCTTGTTTAACTGCAAACAAAATATTAAATTAAATGTTTCATTTTAAAAGACTATTTGACTTTTGTTCATGAAAAAGCATTTTAACATGTTCAACAAAAAATCACTTTATTGAGAAACAAAGATATACTGAGATAAAATAGGTTTTATTTTAATTAAAAATTGATTCTGTCTAAAACGTCTGGATATTTATAAATACAATATCAAAACTGAAAAAATGTAATCTGAATAGATATTCTGTGTATTATTGTTTGAAAATTTTAGTTTTTTAAGTTCTTAGAATGAATAAGATGTACAATTGTCTTTACAGCATGTGACAGGAGTGTGTTATTTATACACTTCAAATCCCATCAGTTCATTAAAGTTATTTCATTTTGGAGAATTTAGTTTATTTTAAGAATTGATCATAAAGATTTCTTTCATTCATAAAAATTCTATAATAAAGTTAGAAAATAAAAACAAATTTCTTTGAAAGGAAGATAAGTGACTACACAAAAGTATACCAAGAATTGAATAAGTTCTACAGTAGACAGACTGAAATAGATATAAATCAATTTACATCCATAATCTTTGAGTTTTGATTTCTAATATTTGTTAGCAACAGAAAAAATAATTTGACTTATTCATTAGTAGATATTCAGATTAGATAAAATTGCTATCTATACCAACTCAGTCTTATTATTTCTCATTGGGTCTTTTCAAGTGCAATTTTTTATGTATATTTCTCTTTTTTTTTCTGATTAGAACAATAATTGTGAGACAGAATATCATTGTTCTTCCTTTTGATTTCTTTGGTGTTAGAAAACAATTCAAGATTGATCTGGTTGCTGTAAATATGTGATAGGACAGTAGGCTGGTGATCCTGCTATGTTGCATTGATTCCATCTATCAGATTTATAAAGAATCAACTTAAATAGATTACATTCAACTACTGACCAACCTAAGGTACAATATCTTGAACAACATTGATGTGACAGCTCTTTATTCACTTTTTACCTTGAAAGTCTTGAATGAATAATCTTATATATAGACAAAAATCAATTTCAGGTTTTTTGCTGGTTGACTAATATTTAATTTGTACAATGGAGAATATTTCACAAACAAGATTTATTTCTTTTTCAATGTTTTAATTCATTTTTAAAGAAATCTTTAGATAATTCTGAGCAAAAGTGTTGTAAATATTTTTTACAACTGTGAGTGCTATATTTAAAATTGAAAGGCCAGAAATATATTAGCTGAATTGATAGGCAATAACATGAAACCATTGAAGCAATTTGGAAACCTTGGACAAACTGTAAATCAGAATACAGATATAGAGGTGAGAGATTGTGAAAAGAAACCTTTTAAAAATTACCTTCTGTGCTTTGCGTTTGTCAGCTCTTTGGTTCTGGTGATAGATGCGACTAAAGTTGGACACAATCACAGGCACAGGTAGGGCAATGACCAAGACTCCACTCAGAGAACATACACCACCAACGATCTTACCGGTGATTGTACTGGGTACCATGTCGCCATATCTACAAGAAATAACACAAGGTAAATGAGGTTATCCAGGCATGAAAAGTTTATCATAACTATAAGATGCATGTAGTCAATGCTACTGAGGCAAAAACTCTATTTGTCGAAAGTAAAATCATGTAATTTTCATCATCATCTAAATGTATCAGTACTTTTAAAACAATTATTATTATTTTCAGCTGTGACCTGAATGCCATTTTAATATTTTTTCATTGTAATTCTTATTATATAAAAACAATTGTAGATAGATGAATGTTCATATATGCATGAGTGTATCTATTTAGGCATTTTCATGTGTATATATATAATTCCAATTATTTCATATAGACTAAAATAATCATTAAAATGCAAAATCAAATTTATGCAGATAAACATGATAAAGCAGTTTTCTGTCATGAAAAAATGAGTTAAGAAATTTTCTGTTAGTTAGTTTCTGCTATATATAATATTGGAAGATCTCAAAACTATTGTCAAGAAGAGAAAGTTGAAATGGTATGACTACATCATAAATGCCAACAATCTTTCCACTAGCAAAAGAAGAAGAGGTAAATAGAAGAAAAAATGAGCTGACAATGTCACTAAGTGTTGTGGACCCGGAAGAGGTCCAAAAGAAAACTCAAACTCAGCAATTCAGTGAAAACGTATTATTAACAAAAAGAATGAATACAGAAGTGTTGCACGTCTGTCTGATGGTTAAGTACAGTAGTCAACTGACTACAGTCCTCTTGCGAGGCATAATATAGTCATAAGACAAGTCTATTTTGTCCATGAAGGTAGGCTACCATAACACTAAGTGAACTGGAAGATCATTGACAGAGACTCAGACATTGGTGCACAACCAAGAGCCCATCAGGTTGCCCAACTGTGCAGTAACCCTACAAACCCTACATCTAATGAGACTGATGATGATGTTGCCACATATATGACATTCATTAATCCTGACTGCTGAATTTCTTTATTATTCTGAAAAAAAGGACAAATATTTTCTTCTTCCTGAACAAACCATTAGATACTAGTAAAATGTACTTTTAGTTGATGTTTTAATTTTTTGTACTCTATGGCCTCAAAAACGTCTATAAAAATCTAACTATTTATATTTCGATCTCTTAGTTTAAATAGTTTTATATATGTTGAATATACTCTTTCTCATTTATTACTAATTTATTTTTGATTCCCATTTAATGGTAATATTATTTCTCTGTTTGAAAGATTTTTTCATTATTATTATTATTATGAAAATAATATTTAAGAGCTCCTTGCAAATAACTGCTATATGGTAGTTATGTATCATTAACAAAAATAAATTCTTTACTTGAAATTTAATCATATTAGCAAAGACTTTATCATAAAAATTTCAGATATTTACATAACATAAAATCAATATTTTAATAATGTATAATATTTTTGTTAATTTAATATATTCCATGTTTCTATCTCTTTTCTGATTGTTATTTGAATTAGGCGTTCATTGGCTTTCTTCTGGTATATGTTGCATTTAGTGGTCTTTAGAATTTGCTGACTGACATGAAAAATACTTAGGTGGAATAACTAAATCATGCATAGCAGAACAGTTGTGCAGAAAAAGGTGAACACACTACTTACTCTGGAATAAGATTAAAGTAATAGAAAAAGAACTAATAAAATAAAAAAATGTAAGTTGGAAAAATGTACATATAAGTTATCAAAGAAAAGTCAAGTGTAAATTTGAGCTCATATAAATTAATTTCACAAGGTATGTTTTTCCTATACCAATGATCAACAGAAGACCATTTAAAACTTTACTTCTGGTGTTGTGAACTTATTAACAATACATTAATGGTGGTCAACAAAAAACTAATTCTTTAATAAGAACTAAATAACATTTCCAGTTTTATTTGTTCCTATGTTAACTTACCATAATTTCCAAGCTTTAAATTTAGTTTTCTTGTAGAATAAAATATTTTTAAGACCCAACATCCCTTATGCTTCAGGATTGGCACAAAAAGAGGCTGATACTGATAGCTTATATTACTATGACAGTCCCCAGCAAATCTGCAACTAATATAATAATGCTACATAGAAATAAAAAAAAAAGTACAGTTTTGTGACTCTTGTCAACTTTGGTGTTCTTATTGAACAAGAAAAGGAAAATAATTTAAAGAACAATGGATGCAACATAAGTCTAAGAAAAGCAATGGAATATGACAGCCAAAATTCAAGACAAGTTCAAGACAACAAATGTTTAACTGTTAAAATTATTCAATATATCCAATTGAATTATATTGTGTATAATAAATAAATGCATGCACACATACACACAGATATATATATATATATAATTATGTTGTATAAGTTTATATACACATAAAACTATTCAGTAACAAGCACGAAAGAAGACTACAGGTGTATCAAACATTTTGAAATTTCCATAAGTTTTACTGTGCTCCCACATGTCAACTATATAACAAACATAAAGAAATATAGAAAGAATATCTTGGTCATCACTTTATATATATATATATATATATATATATATATATATATATATATAATTATGTTACATAAGTTTAATTTGAATTTAATGTTGACTAAAAGGAATAAAAAAATTCTTGATTATGGTTATTATAAAAATCCTTTATTAGGATAAGACAGTTGATTGCATTTTTCTGCAATGCACAAATTTCACAATTTAGATTATTATGAACTATTAAAGTTAATATTTTCATAAATGCTATTTGCTAATATTATATTAACATAAATACAATCCATTGTTAACTGGGGCAAGAAATGACTTAAATTTAATGCCTACAAAACAAAACTGCTCCCTTTTAATCATTTTAGAGAACATTGTTTACCTTCCATTAGCATGGCTGATGCTAACCTCCAGGAGAGTGACTCATTGTACCTTCTTCAGATAGCATTTTTCACTGACATGAAGTGAAAAAATTATATTGAATCAGTTGTTAAGTTTAATGCTAGGAAAAGTTGGTTCACTGTGTCATACTAGATAATTTTTCTTTCCAGAATCTATCCTACACATTTATAAATCTACCTTTATCTATGCTTTGAATATTGCTGTCATATCTGGTTTGGTGTTTCTGCTATATATTTAGAGATCCTTGATAAAATACAAAGAAAAATTTGCAATGTTACTGGTCCTGACCTGGCATCACGTCTTCAATCACTTTCCCATCACTGTAACATAGCTTCACTATGCTTTTTCTATATATTCATGGTAATTGTTGTGATGAGCTGTCCTCTTCAATATCTTGAATTTAAGCATACTAATAGATTGATGGCAAGCTCTCACCATAACATTTTCTTCTCTTGCACTTCTTGCTTGTGGAAATCTCTTCCATCTTCTTACTTTTCAGTCAACTTTGATCTTTACAAATTTAAGTGCAAAGCCAGATGTTTAATAATGTTTTCTTTTCTCATATTCTCTCACACTCAGTAACCCCTTGCATATTAGTGACTTTATAGTCTTGCTTGGTGTGAAATAATTTAAAAGAAAAATAAATAAAAATAAATAAAGAGAGGAAAAAGGATTAAAAATTCTGTCTCCATATTGCAATGTATCAGTTTTCTCATGAAATGAGAAAAAAAAAAAATTAAATGTTGATATGATAAACATGATTTTAGAAGCAAGTAAAGCAATACCTGGTGTTTTCTAAAGACAGATCAACAATTAAAGAAGGAAAAAAAGATTGTTTGAATATTGTATCTAGATCTAAATATATACAACCAGGTAAAAATATTATTCAAGCAGTTCTCAATAAAATGCTTGTTTAAAAATAAATATGTGAATGAATAAAGAAAGAAGTTTGCTAAATTTGTTTGATATATTAATACATAACTTAATATTTATTTTCTTAGTTTCTGTAGAATGTATATATTTCTGTGTTGATTTTGTCAAATTCCCAAATAATGGTCATTAAAAGAAAAAAAATGTTGATAGTGTTCTTGCCAGAAGTTTAGTGGTTATTCCTGGGAACTGCATAACTGTAAGTCTCCTCAAATGATTGCCATGTTCCTTAGTACTTGCAGACCCCATCAAAACTGGGGTTTGGATAGTGTCAATCCTTCCTTAAATTTTCAATTCCTTCTATCTCATTCAACATGTTTTGGTACAGTTCCTAGTGTGGCAGTTATTATGGACATGACCTTCTACAGTTCTTGGATGAGGTCCTTTTAGTTTTTCTAGTTTTATTTTATCTCCACTCAGCACTTTGTCAGAATAACTATATACATAATCATATTCTCCCACAAAATTTATTACTAATTTTATTTAGTGCTGTTAGCATTTTTGCAGAGTTTGAAATAATGTAAAAAAGTAATAATTTTCTGAATCATTTCATGAGCAGGAACTTTGAAAATTAAAAGCAGTAAAACAAAAGATAGGAAACATTGGTATCAAGTACAAATAGAGTTTAGAAATATTTGTAAACTGAAATGTACTTCAACAACAGTATACTAATAGTACAACTCTGTTCTTCATAAGAATTTACTGTATTAACATTTACTGACAAACAACCAGAGTCACCTGAAAAGATTTATTTACTAATATTAGTTATTCTGTAAATTTTTAAGCTTTGGTAATATATTTCTTTTTGTTGTGAAAGGACCTTAGGAGGGAAGAAATACACAGTGAGGCAGAAAAAAAATAATGGGTATAAAAATGATTTTTTAGGAGTTAAATTCATGAAAGCTGAAAGCATAAGTATCTCTATATGAAAATATGCATAAGCTGTTGTTTTGAAATGATATTACTCTATATTGGTCTTAAGCTAGCTATATGTGAGAATACTCTCCAAATCGATTGAGTACTCCAGGTCATTGGCATGTTTATTAAAAAATAAATAAATACACAAAAATTCGCCTTTCTCTCTGCCAGTCTATCTGTAATGATATATATATATATATATATATATATATATATATATATATATATCTGAATATAATCTAATATATATATATATCTGAATAATTATATATATATATATATATATA